TACAACCCGAGGGGTGATTTTTTTGGTTGTCTAACCCGAGGCTCTCCCGAGGGTTAGACAACCAAAAAATCTCCCTGCGGGTTTTAGATTTCTCTGTTATACCCTCAAGGTAGGGGATGATTATTTTTCTCCCATCCTATTATTTCAGTCACAGCTCCACCGACAGTAGTCTGCCATGTTTGTAAACAAAAACACATGTGGGGTATGCATATCGTCATTTTAATGACGTCACAATTGAACACGTGATAATCGGCACGAGGCTAAATCCCCCTAGTGGGTGACAAGCTGATCTTTTCCGGCTAAAACAGGAGACACACCTGTGAAAGGTTGGAGAAATATGCTTATACATTGAACGTGTTTATGTTTTGTGCGATACGTGTCCGTCATATGGTCTATAATCCATGTATGTAACATATTCCATGTGACACTAACACTCAATATAGTTTGTGTGACACAGGTTTATCATGTTTTGTTTTGTGACAGATACCTCTCTCATGTTTTGTATGTTTGGTGTGACATTTGTAAGCATAACTGTGTTTTATCGACCTACATATTTTGAACTAATACGATATTTATGTTTATGTTTATAGTTTTGAAAACCTAGCATTGCCGTCATCATGGCCTGCTATTGGTATCTAGCATTATAAAGGTGACTTATATTATTTCCTGGTTTACCGAAGACGTCACAACAGCTACAGAATATGGCGTAAAGAACGGTTACTCACCATTTTTTGGAAACCTGATTTCGCCTACATTTTTGTTGCTGCTCATGTAGGTTTTTTTTGGTTTGCTTTGGTGTCTTATCAGATCCTTGTGTATTTTTTACAAATATAGTTCTAATATTTGGTTATGTTGACTCTGTCCTGTATCTTGTTTGTTATTATTATTGTTTAAAATCGCATGTTTGTGCTTAATGTTTCAGTCATTCAAATAATCAGAACATATTGTTTTAAAAGCAGTAGAACATTAACTTACTAATATCAAGCAAAGTTATGTCTACAGCAAAACCAAAAGAAAGCTCTTGACGTTAAAAATAATTAAACAATATGTAGCTAAACCAATATGTTGCATGTCACGTCAAACTAAATGAAGCTACGATCATTTTCTGCTTAATCCATAAAGATAATATCGTAGAATATCTTCAAATATGTAAATGACTTTAATTATATTATTTATATTGTTACTAATAGTATAAACAGCGACCGTGCAAGAGCTGAAAGCAATTTCAAATGTTTGGGCTATGAATATGTCGCCATTCCCTATATGCAATTTTGGCACAAAAGATGAAGCCATAGACATCAAGTAGATGTGCTGATTTACTGACCACAAACTTGCTACTTCTATTGTCGGGTAGATCTAGATTTTCCTTTGTAAGACTAAAAAAAGATAAGCGCAATGTCAAAACATTAAACATACAAATGTACATCATTTTCATTTCGTCGAATGTACCGAATCGTAAATGATAATGTACGTGTTTAAGTAAAGCAATAGCATAATACACATTGTACACGTATTATAATGCACAGTACCGAATATATAACGAAGTTATGTTTGCATTTTTAATGACTTTATAAAATATCAGTTTCATTTTCTATATTCATATATAATTTTATTTGATTTAGTTTATTTGATTTATTCATAACTAATGAATTTGCAATTCACTTTGGTTGTCGGATATTGCGCTGCAATTGATATTAATAAAACATCGATATTTTTGTTAAATAGTCATTGTAAAATTTATCCATTCTGTCATTAACTGGAACGAAATGGGAAACATCTTCCCTGTGTGATATATAAGTGTTTCTTCGAAATTTTAGTGCCATATATATGTGAATTGTTATTTAGCTGTGTGGATTTTGTAGCTCGTGAAACATAACGAGTTATTCCATATAATGATATAATGAAGTGTAGTATTACAGGATATTCTGTGATCCAGCTCGATAAGGGTGCAATGTATTAGACTTGGACTCATATTCAAACACGCATTAGAACAGTGCATTTTTGCCATGACCTCTGTATTATGGCTTCTGGGTGTATGCCACTGATAAAATATCTATGAATTAGATATGTTCTAACCAACACTGACATCGAATTCGACTGATATCTTATGCTAATGTCGTACAACTTAATGTGAACATTGGTTAATGCTATATGTTTTGCTCGACTGATCATTATATCTATAAGTGAGGAATGATAGGGTTACCTCGACCCTTTGTTATAGAAGCGTCTTTAGAATCTACCAAGTCTGGGGGAGGTGTCATTGTCACATTATACTCGATTCATTAATGTTTAACACACCACTATTCATACGATAACATTCGTTCTTTTTATAGAATGGTCGTCGCCGCATCCAAATGATATATTCGACAGCTAATGAATTAATTTTGAGATTTGTCTCAATTATTCATAAGCGTTTAGATCTAATAGCTGTTCGTATTTGGTAAGAAAGGAATTATAAATGACAAAAACGATTGTACATGTAGTTCGTCGACTTTTAGATAAAAAAAAATTAATAAAAAACTGCCTATTCAACATCGTTGATACTTGTTAAAGAGTGATAGAGAAATATTTTAATCGTCGTCTTCTTCATGAAACTAATATGATTAGGACGAAAATTGCCAAAGAAATTGCCGATACCATTTCATAATGAATTCCTTTTATCCCTTTCTTTTAATCATGGGGGGAAAACAACATCTCCCATATTGTTGTTTTACCACCAGCTCCATCACTACCATCACTGGCATACGTGTGTTACCATCAATTATTTTTGTTGGAACCCGTTGCTGGCAATTTCGCGTTATGTCCACGTAAAAAGTTTTGTATATACGTTTTAGGGGTTTTCCCCTGTAACTGTATGCCTTTACGACGAAAAAGTTAATTAGCTGAGCGAAAGTAGTGATCATGTGATGCCCTTGAACTTAGACCAGGATGAGCGCCGTGAGGCGAGAACACTGTCCACGTTCTTGAAAATACTATGGAGTTTCAATCACACAAAATATCAATGCTTTTTTTTTTTCGTAAGCTTAATCTATATTATTGTCGAATTTAAATTTCAACCGTTTGAAAATTTTCTAATGTTTGACAAAACAATATCTAGCAGTTATTTTTCAATCTTTTGTATATAAAATAATTATTCGGTATTCATTTAAGAAACTTGTTTGAGTCTGGTTACAATATAAACAATGCCGAAAAAGAATTTAATCTGTTAAAGTTTCATGTTGAAAGAGGAGCACCAATAGAGTCAGCGAAAAGAGTTTGAGGTAATAATGAACAATAGAAATATTAAAAAAAAAAATAAGTCAACTACCGTATTATAATGGCTTAGACTGTTGGGATGACAAGAGCATAATAAGTAAAAACCCTCTCCAACAACACCACGATTGTTTGCAAATATTGAAAAGAGTACTTTTGGAACCGTATTATGTTATGTTGTATTATGAACATTGGCTGTCCATTAACATCAGATAACATATCTAGTCTTGATCACAGTGTTACATGCCACACTTATAAATGTTGTTTCAAACGAGTAACATGCTATAACGTCTACTAAAGCATTTATAAAAATAGGATAATGCAGTAAAATTTCTATTTTTTTCATAAAACTGAATTAATTTTTGTGATATATAATGTGACTTTTCGTAACCTGTTTATTTTCATATTCGTTCGTGTTATTAAACCTTAAAATAACTAACTACCAGCATCTGCCAACATAAACGTTATCGTATTTTTACTACATTGTGTTCTACCCCGTTATTTTATGTATGAATGAAAGTAAGAAAATGTGTAATGAAAACGGTGAATTCCTTTCATCATTTTATCTTTTATCGCATAACATATTCTGTTACGTTTGCTTTTTGTTGGTGAAATTTGTCTTTTATGTCAAATAATGTAAACACTAGCTTAACTATAAACTAATGGTATCAGATGATTTTGTTTAACAATTTTATGCTATTAGTTCGAATTAATTTGATTGTTTCCAAAGATAACTCTGGCGATGCTTTTATTATGGGGATAGCGCATCTCTCATTTTCTTAAACAAAGCTTCTAGTAAGGCGTATATCAAACAAATGTTTGGAAACGTTAAATATCATACAAAAACGTTTTCCATGACTGCTTCAGGTGGTAACATATGCAAAAACAATTGATTTTATTTTTTTGCAAAAACATTTTTTATACTTTTTTTAATGTTAAAATAACTGCCTTTGTCTTATCCTATTATGTTCAAATAGATCTGTTTAAAATTCATTGGATACATGTTCATTGTATACATATAAAGTCAGGTTGCATGTTACTGAATTCCTATTATTCAGGTATATCTTTATTTCATTTAAGCATATATATATAAGAAAATAGAAGAAGGATGTATAATATATAAAACACTGAAGACCTGGGAAATCTCATATCAATCACAAAAATATAGTAACAGAATATATATGAATAGGAAAACAAAGACAAAACAACTCCACGGTAAAAGTTAGATTATAATGTATAGTAAATAAAATAAGTATTAATTTATGGTTCATGTCTGAGCAAAAAAGTACAAAGTGTTTTATTAGCAATATAAATGTTTGAAGAAAACACGTGATTTATTGTTATATATCCTATATTCCTTGGCGATACAATGAACCGAACACTGCTTTATTTGTACATAAATCAATGTAGCTACCTGGTGTTTCCTGGCCGGTAACATTTAACAGGCACTGTGTATACAACTCAGATCTGTGGTTCCGTGAACAAATCGGAATTGTTTGTAAACAAAGGTTGAACAGAGATAATTATGCTTCTCTCAGATCCGACGTCGACAGGTGTAAAAATGTCCTACCGTGCCGTTCGTCGGTGAAATTCTTAATTACTGCACACAGAGTCACAGAGAATAGCGGTTTTCTCTGCCGAACAGACAGATCGATAACATCATGAATATTCAATTAGGCAAGTCACGTGCTTCCCAAGTGGTAGTTTTCAAAGTGGTTCGACCAATTGGGTATGACAAGTACTATTAAGAATTGAGTTTCCACTGAAAAACCAAATTTGGCCTCTCACAGTGAAAAGTTGGCGGACAAGTGGGGATTTTAGCCATATCCCAACCGGATGAAATAGAATTATTATTTATATATAATAATTCATCCTGCAATGGCTACACTCGCTGAAATTTCTCCTCAAAATTCTGGTTTTCATTCGGAGAGCCCGGGAAGCCCTAATCCAAGGATGTTGACGGAAATGATCAGCAGGAACAAGTTTTTGGAAGGTACGTGTATCTTGGTATTGATTGTCCGTTTTAATATTTCAATATCAATCAGAGGAGGGGAATCTGATTTATTAGGCAGAGGCTATCACAGGCAAAATCAAATTAATTTTTCTCCTTAGCATAAATTGATATTACATCCCTTACTCTATATGATTATTTAGGATATTTGGGGGTAATTAAGTTTATTGGGTAGCGACCAGATAATCTCAGTGAATTAAAACTTGGCGAGGCGCGACATTTGATTGTAGGTTGATTGTATGTGATTAACGGAGTTTGATTACTGGGACAGTTAACCCGTACTGGGACAGACACATTTAATCTTCTCCAACTACCGACGGAATTCAAAACTAATTTAACAATAAACAAATCTATAACCTTAACACACACATTTAACACGCTACTTCACTTACGCCATTTACAAATTCTGCAATATGATTAATGTGGGTTACATACGGGAAGATTTTCATGAGTTTTTAATTAGAGGTAATTGTTTTGTGTGTTGGGCTATATGGAATTCGGTTCGTTAGTGGCATCCTTTTTCGCGAAGATGCAACACACGGGTTTCTATCTCAGTAAACTAGATCATGGATATAGATCATTCTAGTGGATTATAATGAAAAGGTAAGTCAAAACAAAATTAATAGATGTATAGTTAGACTTTGCATTTTGGTCATACATTGTTTTACTTTTTGGTATAATCATCAATTCAATTTCATTAATGGGTTCAATTATGTTGTCATCAAATACAAATAAAAAGTCAGTGGCAATTTTAGCTATGTAAACAGATATCTGTAGAATTTAAATGATAGCCATATAATCGGATATATCTATCTTTAAAATAAATAATCTCATTTCGTTCTTTATGTTCCCTTTTTCATTCAAAACACCATATATTTTATCATGTTTTCGTTTTATTTGACCTTTGATTTAATACGTTAATAATACCACAACAGCGGGAGAAATTGTTAAAGCGACAGATGAATACTTCGGTCCGCAAGGTAACATCCATCTGTCGTCCCTGTCACCCGACTGCCCGAGGTTATAGCCTTTCTCTAATTCTTATCTCTTTAAACAGTTAGCAATATTGATACACCTGTTCAGCAACCCAAAGGATACCACTGAATAAATTGAATTCTATTCTCACTTAATATGAGATAAAGGGATAATGTTACAAAGAAATATCCTACAATGCACAGACACATTGTCCTGGCATTATCTGAGTAAAATTCCAAACGTAACAGAATCCTTTTCGCGCAAGTATATGTAACATCATTTTATATCATATTTATATTTCAATACCTGAGTACCTAATGTTTATACTCTGATATACAGTTAAGCGATTTGCAAACATGTTATTTTTTCATTTTTTATTTAGATCTCTGGCTTCGGAGACTTCGAATATCATTATATGTTAAGGAAAATTAATAGGGCTCGTATTTTGATATGTGCGTTATATTTCTGGTCGGACGGTTTATTTGTCCATCTGTTAACTGGTCACGTGGGACGAGAAAGAACACTTGAGACAGGTGCGAAAATCCGAAACAACACGATACCTGCTAAGCTGATTAGTGTCCGTTACTTTGAGTACCAGAACTCTTTGTAAACGTTAACATATTTCCCACCACTTAATAATTTGAACGGATTCTAAAAATATGTATTGATAAACAACAGAATTCCATATCACACATTTTCATAAATGTTATGTTTACCTGTAGATCATTCTATAGCAACCTAATAATATTTCACGTAGATTTTACTTTTGAATTTATTTATTTTTATTCCGATTTACGTGAAGGGAATCTCATTTACATTCAAAAGTCATCATTGAAATTATTCTATAATAATTTCAAATAGTTGGATGATATTCATGTTTTGTTTGTCAAGTTTGACATTATATATAAACGATTCATATATTTATATAAAATAAAATATAATAATAGTGAAAATGATTTATCAATTTAGAAAAAGCGCAGAGTAGTATATAGAATTTCTGTAGTATACATTTTACCTCATTGCAGTAATGTAAATCATATAAAACATCTTTGTTTTAATTCAAACTCCACATAATTTTACATTTAATATCTGAGCATATTTATGGGTTCAATATCAAAATACTTGTACATTTTGTACATTATGTAGAATACGCGAGATGTCAACATTACGATGGCAAATATAAGTCATTATGCTGTAAAAACTATTTAAATTCCAAAAATAGCCTTTTCCTTTACAATAATGATCGGCGTAATGCATTGCTTTATCTTGTCGTGTATCTCGACATTTCACCCATACAGAACTCTGTTTTTGTAATCTGCTTAAAATCTGAAGGGATTCTACTTTTATCGCATTTGACAGGTATGTCGCGTAATCTGTCATTTCAGAGAAAAATCGAATTCATATCGAGTAAGCCACGCATATTGTGTCTCTGACTTTGACCAGTGTTCCGTGACAACACCTCAGCGGTTCGCACGTGGCTACCACAACATACGTCATCCGTGACGGGAACTACACCTGCTCTATAAAAACGATTCGAAAAACGTTCATGTTTAAAAACCCTCTGTAAGGCTAAGATCCTTTCATCTCACGGCTGCTGATAAACCCATTCATAAATTCATAGATCAGATTTTGCGAAGGTTAATGGCGTAATTTAAAAGTATCCAGTATTATTAAAAAAGTTAGTCGTACGTAGTTTTATATAAAATACCTCAATGTATCATTATAGTGGGCTGTGTAGGTTTACCATCAGTTATTTATAACAAACGTTATTGTTTATGCCAAACATGTAAACAATACATGTAAACAATACATGTAGTGTAGAGTTATCTATTTAAAAAAAAAATAAAAAAATACTAAGTGGGCTCATAACTGAGATCTTAACTAAGAGTTGACTAACTTATTGAATTGTAACAACAATAGGTGATTATTTATATTAATCGTATTTCCCATCTCATGTAAATTTTTAATATATAGATAATTGAATAAATAGTTAATAATAAAGATAGGTTAGATTAACATATCAGCTTAAATGTTGAATCTTTTTGCTATAATTTTTGTTACAATCGTTTTGCTAAAGCAAACAAAAACCACAAATATCACACAGGGCGGGTAACCTATATTGTCACCACGTCATTATTTTACATATGATCGTCCCAATGACTGAAGCATCTTAAAGGCTGTGCATTTAAATAAAAGGGCGAGAAGAATTTGAGACAATAGCGTGTGTTTGTATTACTTTGTATGACCCATGAACATCACATGTAGTTTGTCATGATCAAGTAGGATACCACTGAAAGGTGTTACCGGTAGCTGTAGGGCGCTGCATTCGTAACCTCAGATAACGTCATATCATTGGTAGTCTTTACAAAAAATACCCTGTCAGTTTTGTATATTCCTATTTGTAAAACTCAACAAATTTTCCACTGAACTGGGACATTCCTTACATATATTTAATCGCTAATAAATATATGTATCTAGTGTGAAAGTCTACATGCCATTGAGCTGCGTTAGTAGATCAAGACATGCCATCAATTCTGACCAATATTGTAGCTGCATAAAATAAATAAAAATTTCGTTAATTGTCAAATCGATAATAATCCTTTCCAAATTTCTTTTTAAACAAATGCTTTTCCTCGCGCGAAAAAAAATATATCAAATGTCTAAATATATTGATACGTATTAACAGAAAATACAACAGATTTTTGTAAACGTTGTATTGTATCATTTGAGCTGTTGATGAAGAAATTAGCTCGATCAATGTTTACTCCCGGATTAACTCTCCATATTAGATTTGATGAAGTTAAGAAGCGAAGAAATAACCAATACGTTTGTTTATTTTAACGATTTTCTTCAATAGAACCATAGTACCAAAGCTATACCAATCCTACCAGTACCATGTGTCAGATCACTGTGTGTTAATGGTATGAGTGGTTATAATGAAGATAAAGTGAGTAATCGAAAAAATCCTTTATATAAATAACAGTAAAGTACATACTTAATCACTTTCATTTTTAAGGCACAATGTCAGTAAAAGTTTTATATGAAATTAAATGAAATAAACGTATTTAAACATGCAATAGTGAAGATAAACAAAGACCGATATTTGTTGCATTTTAACTAGTACAAAATACGATTCATCAGTGAAGGTATTGTTGATTTTTTTAATGACAATTAATGTTTTTTGTTAATTTTGAATTAAACTGATTTGACAGAGAGCATTGTTTGTGGTGAAAATTACAAACAAAATGTTCGCCCCACTTGTTCAATATGACTGTAATTTATATTTAAGAAACCAAGAACCTATCTTGTTGTGTGCATTTATTGTTTTAAACGTTTTCACATATTTCATTGCTTCTATTATGTTACTAGAACTGTGTGTACGGTAAGTTATATAACGCTATAAAACCGAAAAAGAAATGATCTCACAGCCAGAGAAAATAAAAAGATCACAGTTAGATTTTTTAGTTAGATTTTGCTAGAAAACACGTTATATAATTCTTGGCATATCAAGTTATCGTGGTGATGAGCGAAATAATTACAATATTATTCATAATCATTTAAGCTTGCATTTTTCTTTCACTACAACGCTAGCTGTATCATTCATACTGAAAGATAGATTGATAGTAAATGTGATTTATATGCGTGAAACATAAAAAAGTCACATATTTAACAGATGCTGGCTTATTATATCTTCTTTAAACTATCGTTAGATAATTGATAAAAATACTATACAGATATTATTGTTATTGTTAGGTTGCATTTCCTAACCAAATTCCATTTGATCGCTCCTTCATAACAACTCGTTCAGAATCATCGGGAAAGGTAGATTGTTAACCATTTAAATAATAGAGAAAGACGTCGAAGTCACCCTTCGACCCGTAATGATGTAAGACGGTCCCCAGGCGGTGATGCCCCGATATGAATGACGAGATAGAAAAACAAGTAATTGGCCTATTGCTTTATATTTCCAAACCTTCATACATTATTTAACGATAAAATGATACAAT